TAACATATGAAGGTAAACCCATGAAAATCACAGCAGATTTCTCAATGGAAACCTTAAAAGCAAGAAAAGCATGGAGTGAGGTATTCCGGGCACTGAATGAAAATAACTTCAACCCTAGGATATTCTACCCAGCAAAACTATTCTTCAAAATAGATGGAGCAATAAAAGTCTTCCATGATAAGCAGAAACTAAAACAATATATGACCACCAAGCCACCACTACAAAAGATTCTTCAAGGAATTCTGAATACAGAAAATGAACACGAACAAAAGGACAGGCAGTACCAAACCACAGGAGAAGAAAAGAGTACCACTGATTCAGCTGCACACAACCAAACCCTTAAACAACAAAAACAACTAAATTACAGGAATCACCACATACCTATCAATACTAACACTGAATGTTAATGGACTTAACTCCCCCATCAAAAGACACCATTCGGCAAACTGGATTAAAAAGGAAGATCCAACAATCTGTTGCTTACAGGAGACCCATCCCATCAACAGAAACAAGCATTGTCTTAGGGTGAAAGGCTGGAAGAAGATTTACCAATCCAGTGCCCCCCCCCAAAAAAAACATGCAGGAGTAGCAATACTTATGTCGGACAAAGTAGACTTCAAGCTTACATTGATCAAACAAGGAAAAGAAGGACACTCCATACTAATAAAAGGGGAAATACACCAAAAGGAAATAACAATTATCAACCTATATGCACCCAACATCAATGCACCCAGTTTCACCAAACATACTCTGAAGGACCTAAAAGCATATATAGACTCCCAACACAGTGGAAGTGGGAGACTTTAATGCCCCCCTATCACCAATAGATAGGTCATCCAAACAAAAAATCAATAAAGAAATTCTAGAGCTAAATCACACCATAGATCAAATGGACCTAGCTGATGTCTACAGAATATTTCATCCAACTTCTACACAATACACATTCTTCTCAGCAGCCCACGGAACTTTCTCCAAAATTGATCATATCTTAGGGCACAAAACAAGCCTCAGCAAATATAAGCAAATAGAAATAATCCCATGCATTATATCTGATCACAATGCATTAAAAGTAGAGCTCAACAAAAACAACAGTAGAAAACATGCAAAGAATTGGAAGCTGAACAACACATTGCTCAATGATCAATGGGTCATTGATGAAATAAAAGAGGAAATTAAAAGGTTCCTGGAAGTTAATAAAAATGAAAACATGACCTACCAGAACCTAGGGGACCCAGCAAAGGCAGTCCTAAGAGGAAAGTTTATAGTCATGAGTGCATATATTAAAAGGGCAGAAAGATCTCAAATCAATGACCTAATGCTACATCTCAAACTCCTAGAAAAACAAAAACAAGCAAATCTCAAAACAAGCAGGAGAGAAATAATAAAAATAAGGGCCGAAATTAATGAAACAAAAGGATGGTTCTTTGAAAACATAAATAAGATTGACAGACCCCTGGCAAACCTGACTGAAAAGACGAGAGAAAAAACCCTAATCAGTAATATCAGAAATGCAAGGGAAGATAACAACAAATACCACAGAAATCCAGGAACTCATCAAAGACTACTTTGAGAACCTATATTCTAATAAATTTGAAAATCTTGAAGAAATGGACACATTTCTAGATACTTAAGGCTATCCAAAATTGAACCAAGAGGATATTAATCACCTGAAAATGAAATTGAAGCAGCTTTAGAAAAGAAAAGTCCAGGACCTAATGGATTCTCAGCTGAGTTCTATCAGACCTTTAAGAAAGAACTATTACCAACCCTCCTTAAACTGTTCCACAAAACAGAAAAGGAAGGAACACTGCCTAACTCATTTTATGAAGCCAATATTACACTCATCCCAAAATCAGACAAAAACACCTCCAAAAAGGAGAACTATAGGCCAATCTCCTTAATGAACATCAATGCAAAAATCCTCAATAAAATAATGGCAAACTGAATCCAACAACACATCAGAAAGATGATTCAGCATGACCAAGTTGGCTTCATCCCAGGGATGCAGGGGTGATTCAGCATATGCAAATCTATATGTGTAATACAGCACAATAATAGAAGCAAAGATAAAAACCACTTAATCATCTCAATAGATGCAGAAAAAGCCTTCAACAAGATCCAACACTACTTCATCATGGTGTGATGATTTATGTGAAACATAAATCAACATGTTTAAAGCAATTCCCATCAAAATCCCAATGACTTTCATCACAGAGATTGAAAACTCCACCCTAAAGTTCATTTGAAAACACAAGAGACCACGAATAGCCAAGGCTATTTTACTTAGCAAAAAGAGCAATGCTGGAGGTATCACAATACCCAACTTCAAACTATTCTACAGAGCCATAGCAATTAAAAACAGCATGGTACTGGCACAAAAACAGACATGAAGACCAGTGGAACAGAATAGAGGACCCGAATATGAACCCACACAGCTATGCCCACCTTATTTTTGACAAAGGTGCCAAAAATATGTGATGGAGAAAAGACAGCCTCTTCTTGGAAAAATTGTTATCCATCTGCAAAGTACTGAAACTGGATCCATGTTTATCACCTTCTACTAGTATCAAGTCAAAATGGATCAAGGACCTTAATATTAGGCTGGAAACTCTGAAGTTAGTACAGGAAGGAGCAGGGAATACTCTGGAAGTGATAAGTATAGGCAAGGACTTCCTCAGTAGAACTCCAGCAGCTCAGCAACTAAGAGAAAGAATGGACAAATGGGACTTTATAAACTTAAAAAGCTTCTGCACAACAAAAGAAATAGTCTCTAAACTGAAGAGACCACCCACAGAGTGGGAGAAAATATTTGCCAGCCATACATCAGGCAAAAGACTGATAACCAGAATATACAAGGAACTCAAAAACTAAACTCTCCCAAATTAATGAACCAATAAAGAAATGGGCAGCTGAACTAAACAGAACTTTCTCCAAAGAAGAAATTCAAATGTCCGAAAACACATGAAAAAATGCTCACCATCTCTAGCCATAAAGGAAATGCAAATCAAAACCACACTAAGATTCCTCTCACCCCTGTTAGAATAGCCATGATTAAAAACACCACCAACAACAGGTGTTGGTAAGGATGTGGGGAAAAAGGAACCCTCTTACACTGCTGGTGGGAATGCAAACTAGTGCAACCACTCTGGGAAAAAAATTGGAGGCCTCTTAAAAATCGAAATATAGATCTGCCATATGATCCAGCAATCCCACTCCTGGGGATATACCCAAAAGAATGTGACACAGGTTACTCCAGAGGCACCTGCACACCCATGTTTATTACAGTGCTATTCACAATAGCCAAGTTATGGAAACAGTCAAGATGCCCCACCACTGATGAATGGATTAAGAAAATGTGGTATTTATACACAATGGAATTTTATGCAGCCATGAAGAAGAATGAAATGTTATCATTTGCTGGTAAATGGATGGAACTGGAGAACATCATTCTGAGTGAGGTTAGCCTGGCCCAAAAGACCAAAAATCTATGTTCTCCCTCATATGTGTACTTTAGATCTAGGGCAAATGCAGCAATGTTGTTGGACTTGGGTTACATGCTAAGAGGAGAGCACATAAGGGAGGAATGGGGATAGGTAGGAAACCCAAAACATGAAAGGGATTGATGTCCCCACTGCAGAGGAGCTAATATAGAAACCTTAAAGCAACAGAGGTCAATATGGGAAGGGGATTAGGAACTAGTGCAAAGGTCGGGTAGAGATGAATTAACACAGTTGTACTTGAAAGCAATGTTAGGAATCTCTCTGTATAGCTATCGTTATCTCAACTAGCAACGCTTTGTCTCTCATTATTCCTTATATCTTCTCTTCAACAAAATTGGAGAAACAGGCAGAACAGGTTCTGCCTGGAAGCAAGGGGTGTTGGGGAGAGAGGGTGGGGGTGGGGGGCGGGGGTAGAAATGGCCCAAACAATGTATGCACATGTGAATAAATGAATAAAAAATTTAAAAAGTAAAATAAAAAACATGAGGGGAAAGAAGCTTTACTAATATGTAAAATGAGGACTGGCCTGTGCTTCCTTGGTTGGCTCTCAAGTCAGACAGTCACATGTTACATGAGATCCACCGAAAAGAAGCAGGATTTCACAGCATGGGTCCCTTCTCCGACATAGCAACTGCCAGAATGTAAGATATAAATGAATGTTAGAGTGCAGAACATTTTACTGGTGAGGTGGGAAGCGCAGTATGGGTGATGTAAAGAAATGCGTGACTCTGCCCCAGCTCCAGCAAGGCAAAGGAGCACCAGAGCTGAATCATAAGCCCAGCTCTATGGCTTACACTGAGCGCTCACTAATGAGCCAGGTTTGATTTCTTAATGAAAAGTAGTGGTGTTTCAATTGACCATTTCTTTCGTTTTGATCCCAACATGTTTTAAAAGGGACTTCAAGGTCTCTCAGAAAACAAAACAAAAAAAAAACTATGTAGCTGTTGAAGCAGATTTTAAAACACCTCAGCTTTAACTAACAACTTTTTGCCTCATGAACTTAACTTTGGCTTTCAACTTCATTCTGCCTGAATTCAGGACTACGACGACCCCTGATCAACACTCTGCTTTCCATTACAAAAAAGCTAATGGTCAAGTTTGAGATTAAGATAAAGGGAAAATTAGATTTATTAGAAAAATTTCCTAGTCATTTAAGTGAATATCCATAGCTGCCAAGAGACAATGGCCAAGGTCCCTCCAAAAGGTTTGCTTATCCATATGGATACATCTCTTTCTCTAGTTTTCTACCGTAAAATAGCTCCTCTCCTTTTTGAGAGTGGCTTGGTCCTGGAATTCCTTGTGCATATTGAAACTGTAAATAACCCCATCATTTGGAATAAATTTCCTTAATGTGCATGTAATAATCGTATTCATCTCTATTAATGCAGCATTATCCGTGGTAAAGGTGGATCAGTTTCTGTTTTCTGATTGCTCTTGAACGTTGTCTTGAGGTTACAGGAGTGCTGATGAAGTCACTAAAAGCCATGCATTGATTTTCAGACACAAGGACCAGTATGGCTGCAGACATGTCCCCAGGACCAACAGTTTTCAACAGTGCAATGGCCAGAACCAAGGTGAAACACATGCGAGAGTAAGTAGCATGTTGCCCAGCTTCAGCAGGGGTGGTATTAGAACATATTGACCAAGTGTGTTGTCTGGTCATGGGAAGCCATCACAGTCCTTTGGGCTGTTCAGACAAAATACCTGAAACTGGGTAATTTATGAAAAAAATTTTTTTCCTTACAATTCTGGGGGCTTGGAAGTCCAAGATCAAGGTACCATCCATTTCCATGTCTGGTGAAGACTGGTTCTCTCCAGTCTTCCAGGGTGCCTTGTTGTTGCATCCTCACACATTGGAAGACAAAGGGACTGAACACCACATGATGCCTCCTTTATAAGGGCCTTAATCCTGTTCATGATGGAGGAGACCACGTGACTCAGTCCTCTCCTGCTATGGGACTATGAAGCTAAAGAACTTATGCACTTTCAAAATTCACTGGTGGAGCTGGTATAGGATAGACCTTCCCCCTCCAAAAGGGGAAAATGAGAAAGAAGAAAGGGGTAACTGGTCTCAAGGACCAGTCTTAAAAACCAACAAGGTAAACACAAGTAAACTTAAAGGCTTGAGAATCATCTTTCGCTCTGTGTTCTATCTTTCAGACATAGCAGGGTGGGAGTTGAGTCTCCAAGGTTCTGGGTAGCTGCATCCCACAGCTTTGCTTGGTGATCTATGCTGCAGCTCTCACAGTTTGGGTTCTCATACCTGGAGCTCTCCCAGTCTGGAGTTGCATGCTGATGGCTTTATACACCTGGGGTCTCAGGGAAGGCTCTATTCCCATAATTCCACTAGTCACTGTCTTAGTGGAGGCTCTGAGGCAACCCTGCCCCTGTAGCAATTCTCTGCCTGTGCCCCCAGGCTCTCTGATGCATCCTTTAAAATCTAGAAGCTCTTGCACTTTGTGAACATGCAGAGTTGGTGCCACATAGGTACCACCAAGGTTTACAGCTTCCAGAGCAGTGGCCTAAGCTACACCTGGGTCCACTCCAGCCACAGCTGGGGTTGCCACAGAGTACTATGCCCAAATGTGTGGAGCAAAGACTTGAGGCAGTGCTGAGCAGTAAACCCCAAGGTGACAGGAGTGCCTTGAGCCCCTCCTTTCTAGCCACATGAGCCCAGCACTCTGGGCCTCTGATGGGGTAGTTGCCTCAAAGATCTCTAAAATGCCTTTGGGATCATTCTTTCATTGTCTTGGTGAATAGCGTCTGACTTCCAGAAACCTATTCAAATCTATTTACCAAACACTTATTTGATCATACCCTCTGTGTTCTCTCCTAAACACTTTGTATTCTTTACATAGCCAGGTTGAGAATTTTCCAAATCTTTGAAGTTTTGCTTCCCTTTTGATTACAAATTTTATCTTTAATGCATTTCTCCCCTCTCACATGTTACTATAAGCAGCCAAGAGAACCCCATGCAGCACTCTCAACACTTTGCTTAGAGATTTCTTTCATCACTGCCAGAACTTGCCAGAGTTCATCACTGGCAAGTTTTGCATTCCAAAATGAACTTGGACATGGACACAAACTCAGTCAAGATTTTTTTTGCCACTTTATAACAAGGATAGATGTTCCTCCAGTTTCTAGTAATAATTTCCTTATTTCCTCCTGAGATTGCATCAGAATAGTCATTACCTCTATATTTCTGCCAGCATTCTGTCCACAACCATTTGTATAATCTCTAAAAAGGCTGAGGTTCTTTCTGCAACTTTCTTATTCTCCCAAGCCTCATTAGAATAATGCTTTACAGTTCAGCCTGGACATATTAGCCAGTTCCAAAGCTGTATCCATAGTTTTAGGTTTTTGCTAGAGCAGCACCCCATTTCTTGGTTCCAAATCCTGTCTTAGTCCTTTTGTTCTGCTATACCAGTATACCTGAGATTGGTTAACTTGAAAATAATATAAATGTGTTCTCCATTTTGAAGACTGAGAAGACCAAAATCAAGATAGTAGCAGCTCACAGTGTCTGATGGGGAATCAGTGTCTGCTTCAAAGATGGCACCTTGAATGGTGTGCCCTCACATGGCATAGGGACAGAGTGGTAAAAGGGGCCTAACCAGTTCCCTCAGCCATTTTATAAACTTGCTGAATCCATTTATGAGGGTGGAATCCCCCCATGAACTAGTCAACTCCTAAAAAGCACCATTTCTTATTGCAATGGGGATTAAGTTTCAACATGACTTTTAGAGGGGACACAAATGTTCAGACCATAGTAGATGATGTTCCAATTGGGCTCCACAAAAAACAGCTTGAAATGATAGTCAGCAATATAGAAATACATTATATCTGTGTAGGTAGAGGATACAATGACATATATTGAAAGCTGTTGAAAAGTAGGGGGTGCGAGGGAAAGGGTAAAGGAGAATAATGGAAGGGGTTGAACTCATACAGTGGCAGTACATTGAGAAACCCCTCAGAAAAATTGACTTTGGAATTAATAATGAATAACAGGACTGTAAAATAGGTACAGTGTGTGGGGAGGAGTACTTATGGGAGGAGGGAAGGTGAATAGAAGACATGAAGGTGATGGATACAGTTGATGTGCTTCATATACATATATAAAATTAGAATGATGAAACCTCTTGCAAGTGCTTTAAGTGGGGCTTTAAATGGGGATTATAGGAGTGGAGAGATGGTGGGGGCAATCTAACCAATACAATGTAAGACTATTTGGAATTGTCATAATGAATGCCCCCTATGCAATGAATATATCCTAATAAAAATGAAAAAAATACAGCTCTGCTTTCCCATATGCCATGGTGGATGAACAGCAACACTCAGTGGGAGAGGCTAGAGTCTCCATAACAGCTCGTATTTCAGACCTTGTGCAAGAGATACTTGGTGCCTTGTCTAACTTCTCCAGCATAATCCATGGCTCTAGAGCAGAAGCTGGCAAACGTTTCCAGTTAAGGAATGAGTAAGAAAGGTTTTAAGGTCTATAGGCTGATGGATTCTGACACAATTATTTAACTGCTGTTATAACACAAAGTAGCTATGGGTAATATGTAAATAAATGTACAAGGCTGTGTTTTGAAACATTATTTTGAGGCTGAATTGTTCATTTCATATAATTTTCAGATATTGCAAAAATTTTACTCTTTTTTTGAGTTTTTTCTTTTTGCAGTACTGGTGAGCAAACCCAGGCCTTGTGCGTACTGTATTCCAAGCCCTTTTTCTCAACCATTAAAAAATGCAAAAATAGCTGGGCTTAGTGGCACATGCCCGTAATCCTGGCACTCAGGAGGCTGAGGCAGGAAGATTGCGAGTTTCAGGCTAGACTGGGCTACATAGCACGACTCTGTCTCAAAACAACAAAAGGAGAAAAATTGCTGAAAATTATTTCCAAACCCAAAGCCATTAGTATGTTTAAATGCTTTTTGTTTTCAAGTCCTGCCTATCATGGGGTGGTCATACAGCAACATAGTTCAAAGTGATTTCCAAGAATTGAAACTTAAGGATCTTTTCCTCCATCTCTCTTTGCCAGAAGGAGATAACATATAATGATGTCTTAATCCCCTAGTTTATAATCTTTAAAGAAAAGTGGCCCACTTACTTTACCCTTAAAAGTTAATGTTATGCTATCATATCTTTTGTCTAAGAGTTCATTATTTCCTAGCATATTATCAAATGCTTTAAATAGTTAAAAATAATTGACCAAGGTGCATTCTACTGATTTTCTTCCAGGTATGTTGTTTTCTTCCTCATTGACGAAATCTGACCATGTACTTTCTGGCCCACTTTTTATTGTGGACCAATGCAGTGTGGGCTTCTCCCACATAGATGATGCTGTTCCTTTAGAAGAGTAACCTGGTAACTTGTTGTCTCCTTACAATCTGTGTCATAAAGACCCATCCCATTCTAGAAAAGACAGAAAGTAAACTGAGGCTGCAGAACTGTGCATCTTTTGAGTATGTCGTGTTGCCTTAGTTTCTCAGATTTAGAACACAGCCAGAGAGAGGGAATCTTGCTATTCCTTCCCAACACAGTGATACACTGTGCACTCTGCCATGGGCAGCAACTGTTGGGATACAAAAATAACAATGATATTTTCCCCAGAGAGATTATAATGTTTAAACAACATAACACATCATTTGGAGAGGGAGAGAGAAGGGAGGAGAACCTGGAGGTCAGCACATTTGGAATTGGTGTCTTGGCTTCACTAAGAGACCTTTGGTGAGAGATTTTCTAAGATTCAGTTTTCTTGACTGCAAAATGATGCTAATATTGTCACAATTAGATCCCTGGGAAGCTAACTCAGAGAAGGAGGTTACTGTGTAAGAGAATGTTTGTGAGGGAATGTTCTTGAAGCTAACATCTGTAAAAAGGAGAGAGAAGGAAGGAGACTAGCCATGGAGAAGTCAAGCTGTTACATGGTTTCAGTGGAGGACTTTACTGATTCTGAAGGGAACTGAAGCTGGATGGTCTTGATTGGGGATGTTAGGGCCAAGCCTTTGAATTTCCAAGCCCAGCAGACACTGGGTATAGGCCATGCTGGGAATGGATTGTGGCTAAGAAAGATGTTGTTTTCAGCCATACCAGTGCCCACCGGGACTGACAGTCCACCAGTGGCACCCCTAGCACTTGGGGAATACCTGCAGATCTGTTGGGATGAGTAAGTGATTGAATACATGTAAAAGTGATACATACAGGAGGCAAATAGATTTGGTACTCATGTCTAAGGAGTTATGGTTGGTTTTTTGGGGGCAGGATTGAAAGGAAAAAGAAGGCAAGGAGTGTGTTTGAGGATAGTGATTATATCAGGTTAACTATGTTAATTTAAAAAATTATTTTAAAAAATGTCAAGTCTGTAAGAAAGTTGTAAGAAGAGCATGATGAACAGATGCACACACACATTTCACCTAGATTTACCAATTGTTAACATTTCAGCTCATTGTACAATCTATGTATGCAGTATATACACATGTGTAATGTATACACCTTACTGGGTCATATTTAAGTGTGTAGCTGTTAAAAATTAGGACATCTTTTTTTCTTTTGGAAGTACTGGGGTTTGAACTCAGGGCCTCTCACACT